GAGCCCCCTGAACATCTTTCCATTTTTTCCACCCCAAACCTGATGGACACTTGGGAGAATTTGGCTTTAACTTTTTTTAACTTTTTTTAACTTTTTTTTAAACTTTTTTTTTTAACTTTTTTTTAAACTTTTTTTTTAACTTTTTTAAACTTTTAAAACTTTTTTTTAACTTCTTTTCAACTTTTTTTAAACTTTTTTTTAAACTTTTTTTTTTAACATGACAGCAGCACCCCAAGGCACTCCAGTTCAGTGCCTGGCACCATCACTCTGCTCCAGCCCGTGTCTCTCCCTGGGCTGCTGCAAGTCTGATGGCTTTAGACCAGGCAAAATGAAATGTTTTTGTTAGGTTGGCTTTGGGGCTCTGTGCCAGCCTTTTTCAAGACAACCAGTTTCAGTGTTGTATCCCTACCCAAACCACTCTGATGTGGCAGACAGGAGGTTGAGAGCATCACTGAGCTGCCCTGGGTGATGGATTAAACCATCTCCAGCACTGCAGAGTCAGTCCTGCTCCTGCACTGCCCCAAACCTGTAGGAACCACTGCTGGGGATCAGGACACTCCTTTGGCAGCCTGAGTGRGTTCAGAGCTCAAATGGGGCACCTCCCAGGGAGTTCCAACACATCCAGTGACACCAGCATGGGATCCTCACTCCTCAGGTGAGAGCTCGAAGGCTGCAGCACTCCCAGACAGCCTCTGCCTGCACACTTCTGCTTTCTCTCYTTTTTCTGGCTTGTTTCAATAATGTTCCAGATGATTCATGATCCTGTACTCCCTTCTCCCCACATCAGCATAATTGCAGAAGAGCTGTGCCTCGTATTCTCATGGGAGAGGGTGGGAATKGCAATCCAGGGACCCTGCTGAGGAATCCTCATCCAGCCAATGGGGACCGTGTCATTTTATGGCTTTTCAGGGTTGCTGCAGAGCCTATGCATTTCCTCCCCTTCTCTTCCACCAGTTTAGCCATGTGGTTTTAATCTATATTTTCTGTATTTTCTCCATCCAGCTTTTTGTTTCCAAAACTTCTGGTCAGCTGCAGTACAGACTGAGAGCCAAACAGATTGCTGAGTTCTTCCAYGCTTACTTCCAGAAAACAGCTTTAAAGTTAAAACTGGTGTTAAATGCTTAAATACCAACACCTCATTTATCTGCCAGCCACACCCCTGCATTTAAAATCGCTGTAGTATGAAAATGAGTGAGGTGGGGCAGATTTTCTATGTGGGCAACTAAGGCAGCCCAGCTCCTCAGGCCACCCTGGACAGCTGCAGAAGGGAGGCAAAAGCTCCTGTTTACTTCCCGAACTCGGGATGGGATGGGATGGGATGGGATGGGATGGGATGGGATGGGATGGGATGGGATGGGATGGGATGGGATGGGATGGGATGGGATGGGATGGGATGGGATGGGATGGGATGGGATGGGATGGGATGGGATGGGATGTGAGCACGTGGGGAAATGCAGGTGGGGAAAAGGCTCAGGCTCTGCTGCCCCAGGGAGAGAATTCCCCTCACAGGTCCAGAGTGCCCTCCTCAAGCTCCAGCTCCGGCTGGACAGGAGAGTGGGGACATCCCTTGGGATGCTCCAGGGCAAACGTTCCGTGCAGTGCAGGGCTCCCTCATCCTGCCAGGGTCGAGGTTTGTGCAGCACAGGGAAACCATCCCAGGGAGGGAAACCATCCCAGCACAGGGAGACCAGCCCAGCACAGGGAGACCATCCCAGTACAGGGAAACCATCCCAGCACAGGGAAACCATCCCAGCACAGGGAAACCATCCCAGCACAGGGAGACCAGCCCAGCACAGACAAAGCCTTCCAACCATTACATTAATTTTGCCTTCTCTGTACATCCAAAAACTTTAAGCAGCTCCGTTTCCAAGCCAATCTAACAATGTGCCTGCAAAGTCCTTCTTAAGACAGCTTTGGAGGTTTATTATCTCCTTGGCTTACATCTACACTTGAATGTATTTGATTTGCATCAACATTAAACCTGAGGCTCATGTTGGCCTCCTACCCAGAACAATTTCACCCTTGGGCTCTCCAACAGCCTCTTGCACACACAGTTACTGCTGTGGATGCCTGGACTCCTCCAGGCTGTGCTGTGTTCAGGAAAGAGGATGAAAGGGAAGACAGCCAGTGACTGGGGGAAGGCAGGAGCWGGGATTTGCTGCTCTGCAGATCTGCTCAGCTCAGCAAAGGTGAGCTCACCCTGGTAGCAGTGTCAGTGTATTTGCCATCATTCTTGTAATGAGTTCAGTGCTGGGGAGTTCAGCACAGCAGAATTGTTTCTTTGTTTTCTGTTATTAAATAAACCTCCTACAACCTTTGGAAAGGTTAGTGCCTGTCTCCCATGCTTTTGTAATAYCCTCCACAGGTATCCAGGGAAATTTTTCTTATGTTGGTATCACGCACAGCAAAGAGTTATTGTTCTGATYTACTAAGCAACAATTGCCTCTACTGTAAACTGAGTGGTAGATTCCAGACTTCATCCCAGAATACTTGTGAGACCAATAAACTTGGATACATTTGGAAACAGCATTCCTTTATGGACGCATGCCAATGAGATACTGGGCTCCAGATAAACCTCCAGAGTGAGTCAATTGACTTCAGTCCATTTACTCCAGGGATGAAGCTGGCTCGGTGTCTTTCCTGGAGAACTGCTGGATAATAGTGACTCCTATTTAATTAAAAAGCATGCCAAGAGGAATTTCAGGGTTTAGAAATGTGCTTGTCACTCAGAAACAAATTTATACTTGGTAAGAGAAGAGTTTGTTGTGTTTTTTCCTTTTTCCCCTGGACACATCCACAATTATCTCTGAAACGTCCCTGGGCTGGAATCCACAGCGATGTCTCCGGGTCTGCGGTTTGGTTATTTGAGGTTGGAGCTCTGTCTGTTGTGCAAGGCAGTTCCTCTGCCCTTAATTCACTTCTGACAACACTGCATTCCTCCCTGTGCCACTTCCAAACCAGTCAGTAAGGTCTGCTCAGCTCCCTTTCCCCATCCCCAAGCCCAACAGGCTGGGCACTCCTCCAGGGATTTATCTTTAATTTCACAGCATTTTTGGGTGAGTAATGCACATCCTGGCTGCTGATCTGCTGCCAGACAYACCGGGTGCCCTCCTGGAGAGGTGGAAGAGATTTCAGACAGGCTCTTGGAATAAAAYCTTTCCAACAACTACAGGGAAGTGTTTGACCACATTGGAAAAATCTCAGTGAGATAGTCTCCATTTGCAGACTTTGCTAGGAGGGAAYGTGGGAGGTAAAGGAGGAGAGTGAGGAAAAGCTTTTATCTACAACAAATGTCTTAAGTACAGAATTTAAATCTGGAAAATATTAAGCTTATAAAGTTTCCTGTGGAGCAGAGACTCCCYCTCTCTGTTGCACTCACCTTGCTTATCTGGACTGTTTTTCACACCCAGAGTTGTTACATGAGCGCTGTCCTCACATGATTGCACCACAGCAGAGCCACASTACCTTCACAATGACAGCTCCATGTCCCCTCCATGCCCTGCTGCTTTTATTTGTGCCTCTTTCTCATCAGCTTCATCTTTTTCCTCTAACAGAATCTTGTATCAGCAGCATCACTGAGAGCATTTCCCMTCTATCCCCTCAGTTTTCCTCCAGATCCCAGTGCAAATGTCTGTACAGGGCAAATCACTGACATCCATGCAGAWGTGCCAACAAATAATTGGCCCAGGCCCTTTGGGAATGTGCCATCTAGTTTAGACAAATAACTCCAAGCAACCTACCATGCTGCTAATCCTTTGGACAATTTTAGAACATTTTTTTTTCATTGTTTGGAAAGTCCAAATAAATATTTTTTCCATTCTGGTTTTCATCTTGKGACAGAGGTGCCAAACTACTGTGAAAAGAAGCATATAATCCCCATTTTCAGCCAGGAACAGAAATAGATAACTAAGATTTTTCCTGCAARATTTCCATCCTTGTTCTGGATAATACATCTCAGCACAGAGACTCATCCTGCAGTGAGCAGCTCCTGCATTGTGTGGCTCCAAAGCTCTCTGCTCTGGATTGTGGGTTTGGTACAACGTGGTGCAAATTTACASTGCTGGGTCTGTGTTTTAAAATCAGGAATAATGATGGTGACCCAAAAACTGGAGCCAGTTTGGGAGGCCTTAAATGCAGCATCTGAAACGTTACTTGCAGCCAGTCCCCAAACCCAGACTCCAGCTCTGCTGACATTTGTACATCCCTGATTCTTGTTCTATATTTGCAGCATGAACAAAGATCCAAAACAAGAGCAGAGCTCCACTGTGCTGTGTGTTGCTCTSTGATCAGCCCTTGCCCTGATCCTCACTGGAACAGGCAGTGCCAGGGATCAGCAGGGATGTYTGGGGAGGGACAAACAGCAGAGTCACGTCAGACGAAAGCTCATCTTGAGCCCTGTGATTTCTTTCTTGCCTCTCTTGCCCCCTTCCCTCTCCCCTGTTTTCTCCTGATTTCTCTCTGACCTTTGAAAGTATTAACTCTGTGACTGTGCTTTTGAACTTTTGTGAAAGAGCTGGGAGGAAAGACAATGCTCAGTGAAGCACAGTCTTACTGACACTGACACCCACACTGTCACATCTCAAAGTGCTTCTCAGATATGGTGATMCAGGAAACAAAGTTCATCTTGCAAAAATTTGCACACCTAGAAATGCCAGTGTGGGTTAATGAGTCCTGCCCTTCTGCAGAATGGACATGATGACACCAGAGTTAGAAAATCCACAGCGGGCATGGCAAGGCATACATTTCTGCAAACWATTTCCATTTTGTGACCAAAAAACAAGACTAAAAGGCTCCTGACAAGGTTTGGATGGTGGCAACATTGCCATTCCATGGGTCTAATCCAAGATGAAGCAGCAGCCCAAAGCAGAGCCAGCAGTGGCAGCAATGCTGCCCAGTTTTGGGATCCATCCTGTGGAACACTCTGCCTCCTCCCCCCCTTGTTTTTACTCCTTCAGGCAGCACTGCAATGCTGCTTTGTGCTGATGATTTCTGTCACTTACCACAGTGCAGCAGAGGGGCCAGAACCACCAGAGGAGAGCCAGGGCCAGCAGGAGGAAGAGGATCAGCAAGGCAATGGCCAGGATGGTCCCGTCGGACTGGAAGGGAAATGCAGAGAGCGTGTGACACCTCTGACACCGAGCTGTCCTCACCACAGCTCCTTTGTGCACTCTGTGTGTCCCCAGGGCCCTTCTCCATTTACTGCCACATTCATGGTAATGATCATTAATGCTGTCACACTCCATTTCCTTTTTCAGACCAGATGCAGCTTTCCTCTCTGCTCACACATCCAAACATGGCACCTGTCCTCCCCCAGCACCTCACTGCAAAGAGGCTGAGATCTCTCATTCACCTCACGTTGATTTTCTGATCCTTGCAGTTACATAGAACACTTCATTCAGATTAAAATTAATGTAACGTTCATCAGAGTCTTTAACTGAAGACTAAAAARGATTTTAAAAAGACCTCACAACACAATCATGGAACCATGGAGTGGTTTGGKTTGGAAGGGACCTCAAAGCCCATCCAGTGCCACCYCAYGCCATGGGCAGGGACACCTTCCACTGTCCCAGGTTGTCCCAAGTCCCATCCAACCTGGCCTTGGACACCTCCAGAGATGGAGCAGCCACAGTAYTGGCAAGGTTTCACCACAGTTTAAGCAACTTGTTTGCAGCTCCTCCCCTCCCGCAGTCCAAACTTGGCAGTGATGTTGGCATCACAGCTGACTCCAAACAGAAAATGTGCAGTGAGGTCTCCAGGGCCAAATGACCCAGGTCCTCCTGCTCCTCTCAGTTGTGCTGACTCAGAGCAGCTCTGCCTGAGCTTTCCAAGAGCTCTGAACACACCACAAGGACACAGAGGGAGTTTCCCCATCGTTAGCTCCAGAAGATCCCCTCCTCTCTGGCTAGGACACTTCCCCAGTTAAATCACATTTGCAAATCTCCAGTATTGATCAGCACTGCAAACTGCTGCACAATTGAGCCAGCTCAATCCAGCTGTCCAACCCCAAATGTGCATCATTTCCTGTTGCTCAGATTTAGCCCAAAGCAGATGTTCCTGTCTGCCTGAGGGGTGCCAGCCTTCCTGTCCCACCCTGTGAGTGACCGTACTAAAGATCCTTGACTGTCTCACGATCATCGAAAAAACCCCAAGGCAGGAGAAAGGGGGCACTTTTGCTCAAAGGAGTCCAAGCCAGATCAAGGTGGGAGGACTGCCAAGTTTCCAGCTCCTGGGCTGCTGAGAACAATGGATGTAAGCTACGGATGGTCGCACCATTCCTGAGGAGAACGGTACAGCCCGCAGCCCATGTTGCACACCTTAACAACAGACATTCTTTCCCCACCGCTTGGCTGGTTTTCCATACTTCACAACCCCCTGGCTTGCTGCCACCCGCTTTCAAAAAGACTATAAAAAATCTCTCCAAGAAGACCCCGATGGAGATCTCTCCCAACGGATGCTGGCGACCCCTGTGGAACTTCGGAACATCCGTCGGAACCGTTGGTAGCTATAACCCTCTCTCTCTCTCTCTCTCTCTCTCTTTTTCTCTCTCTTTCTCTCTCTCTCACCCTCTTCTATCGCAAAATATCCATATAAATTGTTCCTGATTATTTAAAGCATATATACTTGCCTCTCGTTATCTTATGCACTCTGAGATTCTGATAACAAACCCTCACGACCCCCGCTTGAGTTAAGCAGATCGTGACACACCCCTCTCCAGGACCAGTCTGACCTCAGCCTCTTGGAGATGTTCTGGCTGCAAGACCCAGACACTGAAACCCTCCACCCAAATGTCAGGGTCACAGTGCCAGACTAAGGACACGTCCAGGACAGACTGACCCAGTGGGTGGGACAAGTGGGTGCCGGCTTAAATCACTGCAGTTCCAGGGCCAGACAACCTCCCATCATTCCACAAYGGAACAGTAATGGAAGAACAACCAGGTTGGGAATGTTTTCCAAACTCTCTGTAGAAAGAATTTCTGGAGAACTTGGATCAAGACAACCTGATCTTTGACACTTGGAAGCAGGAGAAGGTAATCCACACAGGAGAAGAATTCACCCAAGGCATGTCTGGAAATGGAACTTGGACCCCAACACAAAATAAAAGCTCATTTGAGAAGACAGAGCTGTACATTTGGGGCTGTTCCTCCAGACAAACAGCATAAAGGCACATCCATCATCTGCAAATGCAACCCGCTGGTGTTCAACACTTTRGGAAATGTGATCTCAACTCTTTACTGCCATGAAATTGTAGAAGAAATAAGACTTTTTATGTCTAATTGTTATCCATCCCTTTAGCCCCATATTAAAACAAATACTTGGTCATTAAGAGTATTCTAAAATCAATTTGCAAAAATACAGAACAAATTAAAGTGGCTTTTAAACTTTTTTCTGTGGATTTTTTTGTTTGTTTTTAAAAGCAGAATTTATTTTTACTTTCCTTCCCCCCAAAGACAACCTGTAAAGACCAATTTTTGATACCCCAACACATCTGTTTCTCTGCAATGCAGCTGGCCTGGCCAGCTGGGGTTTTGTGTATCACAGCAGAGTTGGAGTTGCCACATCTTCCCTGTCTCACTCAGGTAATGCCTCTCCCCAAGGCCAGTGTTGCCTGGCAGTGCTGCAGGAACAATCTCTCACCAGCAATGACAGCTAAAACGCTCTCTCCCCAACCCCCTTCTGTTTGGATTAATTCCTTTTCTTGTATTTGAACAAATATCAGAATGTTCCAGACAGATCTGAACTGAATTTTCTGGGTTTAGCCAGAGCTGAAAAGCATCGAAGTGACACAGGCACCAAGTGCTCAGTCAGGGAACCCCAGGAGCCACTCCAGGACAAAGCCTGTGCACACCCTAAACCCTGCTGTCATAATCCAGAGTGGTTTATAAAACTGCTTTTGGTTTATCTTTATTTTGTCAGTTCCTGCTGGAATTTATCTACCCCTCTGTGCAATGTCTATGGTTTTATACAGCCASAACTGTGCTGAGACAGAAGCTGCCACTTGGACAAGTTGAATGATAAACAGGAACAAAAATCTGCCTGCTCAGAGAGTTTGCAGWAGTTCCACTGGCATTTTGAAATCTTTCTCCCAATCTTAAATAGCTGGTGAAAAAGGGTTGAAGCATTTCAAATGTCTGTTTTCATTCTATTTTTTTTATTAATCAAAATTTGGAAGAACAATGCAAATGCTCATGGAAACACTGAACAAYGGAATAATGCAATGAGTGTGTTTAATACTTATTGAATACAGGCTGGCAATTCAGACCAGAAAAACAACTTTCATTTTAAAAAAGGGAATTTTTAACAGTAAACTAGRACTTTTTCCATAAAAATGGGTCAATGGAGAAAAGTCTGACTAGCCCCTAAATACACACCGTTATCTGTGATGGGTCCTACTGGCACAAGGGTTCACATTGGCTTCTTACACAGAGAAATGTGGGGTTGGTACCCACAGTGAGATCAGCAGCCAAAAGCTCCATGACACCTGAACAGCTGTCAAATGCCAGAATACAAAAGTAGTCCCAGAGCTTGGGCCAAATTACTGTAAAACTTTGGCACTTTGCTTGCTGAGAGCTGTTGAAGACCTAGACAATGCCTGGAATTGTTTTTTTTTGAAACACCTTGTTATTCTACCAAGAAACAGCAATACAAAACAGAGTGGGGTCTTTCCATGGCCTTTCAAAATCTCCAGTCTGAGGTGTTAAAACTCTGCCATGTGAACTCTGAAACAAAAAAGCTGTGCAGAAAGAGAGGCACCTGTGCCTTGAAGACCCCTTTGCCCTGGCAGATCCCAGCAATGACAAGAAAATGCTGCAAGCATTGCTGGCAGTGGAAGAACAATGGAAAAGACCCTCTGGAAGATACTGTAAAATAGAGAGACAGTGAGAAATCTGGAGCAGGACATGTTAGAGGCATTTCCCTCATGTCCAGGGGGGTGTACATACATATAAAAATATAAATTATAAATATAGATATAAATATAAATACATATATAAAATATATATTCATATATAAATATCTATAAATATATAAATATAGATAAATATAGATATAGATATAAATATAGATATAGATATAAAAATAAAAATAAATATAAAAATAAATATAAATATAAAAATAAATATAAATATAATTATGAATAAATATATAAATATATAAATATATAAATATATAAATATATAAATATATAAATATATAAATATATAAATATAAATATAAATAATCCCACAGCCACAGAGCACTTTGGGTTGGGAGGGATCACAGAGCTCATCTCATGGTACCCCCTGCCACAGACAGGGACACCTCCCCCAGAGCAGAAGCTCCAAGCCCCTTCCAACTTCACTGTGGGACTGTCAGGGATGTGAGAAGCCAGGCTGGACTGGGGGATTCTTTGGCCAGCCTGGCCACCTTTTGGACTGAAGGTTCTCCTTGAGAAAGGAGGGAAGGGATGGCAAAGTCTGAGCCAGAAAGTGCCGTGGATTTCCTGAATTCCACCCACAAACCCTGGGATGTGTCCTTGAGGCACACACTGATCCCTGGGAAGATCCAACCCCAAACCTTGGGATGAACCAGGTGCATATTCCTCTGATAGTCAGGGGAGAGGGGTGGCCACTCCAGCCTGGTTGTGCCACACAGGAAATGATTCATTCTCCAGCATTCCTTGGCTGCTGCCTGCTGAGATTGCTGCCCAACACCAAGCTCTCAAAATTTYGCCCCAGGTAGCATGACACAATCATGAGGCAAGACAAAGCTAAGGCAGAATTTGTGGTATTAAGGTCTTATTTAATCTTAGACATTCTCGATGCTTCTGACACAGAAACAAAAATAAATCTGTCATAAAAAAAACTATAAATCAGTTCACTGGAATTTCAATGGAATTATGGCTTACTCCTGAGGGTTTTCAAAAAAATGCTGCTACATACCAGAGAAGCRTGTTTTGTCGTGTTTGGGTTTGTTTTGTTTCTTGTAATCTTATTTTTGTTTACAATTTGATTTCCTCATTTTCCCTCATTTTCTCATTTTACTGCACTGGTCTGTGCAGCACACTCTGGCTGTTCACGGGGGAAAATTTAGAGTAAACCCCAAAGTGCAGGGAGCCTCC